GGGGGGGGGGGGGGGGGCAATTGTGAAACTGACCCGGGATTAAATGTCTTCACTCCCAGCTGGCAATGATATATGGGTGACATTCGAAACTTATAATTTAATGTTGAATTTTTTTTTTTGTCAGATATCCATTGATCATGCCTGGTTATGCATGTGTTTTTTCCGAAAAAGATATTAAGTCTTTTGATCCTAAATACCTCTGCACGTCCTGTGGAAATGTATTGAGGGATCCTGTACAGACCAACTGTGGACATCGATACTGCAAGTCTTGCATAGAACCATTACTAAGGTACTGTTTGGCTAATTGGCCGCACTCCTACCTTCCTGGATTGGGAAGATTTATGATAAGTCGAAATCATCAATTTGAGCTGGCGATATGTCGTATGGGCTTTGGTGGATTCGAGTGCTCCGGCCTAACGGAGCGTTGTCGTCTGGCTAGTGCCCCTGACCTACTGGTAAACAGTATATGTTTATCGCGATCTCCGTCCAGTATATCTGGTGACTTTCAAGGAAGCATTCCTTTCTGATCATATCGGAACCTAACTCGGAATTGAGCCGAGTTTTCCACCCAGATTAAAAAAGCCAATGGTCCTTTATGTTCTTACCAAAACAAATTGGATGCTCTTTTGTTTTAGAATGTCGTCTTCGAAGTGCTTGGTGGACAGTGCGGAAATCACCATGGAGAAGGTATGTTTGACTGCTTCACCTCCTTTACGTCAGCTTTGAGCATTGTCGACTTCTGAGACTATCATAAAAAACATAAAGACAAAAGAAACTTTTCTTCAGTCAACTGAAGTTGAAGCCCTTCCACGATCTTGTCCCAGAATAAAAGGGAACTTGTTCTTGGCCACTTTATACATAGCCTGTTTTCATAGATTACTGATTGCATAAATTAAATTAGTTAATTAATTAACAACATTATCAAGATAGTGTCCCATTGCAAGATATGATTCATTATAACTTGATAGATAACTGGTTAATTAAAATTGCTTTATATAATTATGATTGTTAGATATTCGAAGACAAGTTTGCGCGACGCGAAATTCTGTCGTTACCAGTCCAGTGTACAAACCAAAGCGACGGCTGCAATTGGACAGGAGAACTGGGACATCTAGAGGTGTGTTCGTATTGTAAATAACATTTATAATTACTCTGATTATAGTTTCAATGATTCTAAACTTCCAGAGCTAGCACTTTGTTGCCGGTTCGATACTTAACTATAATATTATGTAGAAGTAGGTTTAGGCAAAGGACCGAAGAGGATATATTTTTGGCTGATCACGTCTAATATGAAATTATAACGACTAATTTAAGTAAAATTCAGGACCGTACAAGCGGAGGGGACAGGGAGTGCCTGGTATCCCCGATGGGGTGTCGTTGTTTAAATGTACTTTTACGAGATCGTCTTTGAAAGAAACCTGTTTTCTCCAATTTTAAAACTCCTTTACAGCAGTGCTAAACGGGCTCTGCTGAGAGAGAGCACCTCTACGTCCCAGGGTTGAGTATTTTACTTTTTTTTTTCAGGACCACGAGGCTCAATGTCGGTATACCAAGGTTCAGTGTATGTATCCCAGTTGTGGAGTCCTGGTNGAGAGAGCACCTCTACGTCCCAGGGTTGAGTATTTTACTTTTTTTTTTCAGGACCACGAGGCTCAATGTCGGTATACCAAGGTTCAGTGTATGTATCCCAGTTGTGGAGTCCTGGTGCTGAGAGAAGACTTATCCCGGCACCTTGAAGAAGAGTGCATGTTTAGACAGCAGCAATGTCAGTACTGCAAGCTTATGACAACAGCTGACCAGCTTAAGGTATAGTCTATTACCTTTTCTGATCGTGATCAATATATTTTATGAAAATCTACGAAACGTTCTGGTCCCAGAAGACTGTTAAGTTGAAACTCTTGATTATTTTTTTACCAAACAATATGGATTGGGCCGAGTCAAGAGTAATAATGCATAGATGCAAACTGAGGAAGAAACAGGGATTAAACTAAAAAAAAAGACATTATCATCATTGAAAGAGCACTTACCTAATGGTCTTGTAGCAGCGTCCAGCTTTTGTCTTGGTTCTTGAAAACAACTTCAATTGTTCGGTTCTGCTCTATAGGAACACGAAGAGAATGATTGCGAGGAATACCCCGTGGACTGTCCAAAGTGTTCAACTGTAAAACTCCCACGAAAGCAGGTAAATTAACCTCAATGCCTCGTTTTTGTCGGTAACAAATCACCAGTTGTGCGACACTGGATACACTATTCCAACGAACAAGAAGTCTGAATTTACTACTACATTATGACGTCATGGCCAGACTCCTTTTAACAGAAGAGAAATAACTCTGTTCTGAAGGCTTTTATATATCTCAATGGATATGTAGACGTTTAGATAGTGACCGTTATATTTACCATAATAACATACATACATACATACATACATACATACATACATACATACATACATACATACATACATACATACATACATACA